CTCAATTTCAAAACTGAGAATGTTCTCAATTTTCAAAACAGAGAATGATTTCAGTATATAATTATCAAAACTAAGAAATTTCTCAATTTTTTTGGTGCTTTTGGTGCGGTGCTTCTAGTATTAATTGATAATATTATTAGTTTTGAGAAATTTCTCAATTTCTTTCATGATTAATTGGAAGCCGACAAATCAGAATTAAAATGAAGAAGTTTACATATATTTATAATATTATCAAGTATCAATGGACCAGATCATCCTCCAAATTTAAAAAAATAAATCAAAGTTCATGAGCTTGTTTCATTCGGTAAACAATAACGAAACGCAGTGAAATGGATGAAGATTTGTACAGTCCGATTCGTCGGAGGAAGCAACGGAGAGACTCCGACGGTTCCGAGAAAAGAGATCCAAGTTCTCGTCACCGGTGAGGCTAAGACCACGTCGATGCTGCGTTCTTGTCGGAATATTCCTTTTGGCGGCTTGAGATTCCTTCAAAGTCTGATTCATTTCTAGAAATGTAGGACCAAAACCATCTCCAAAGCAAAATATGTGAAGAAGAGTATGAGAAAGAATCAATTATTAGAGTGAGAGAAAGATGCAATAGATGCAAAGGCACACACGGAGCTTGTTGGTGTGGCCGTTCGGGTACGGGCATTGAATGGCATCGGGTCAGTGTGACACACACTTTCCAGATCTGGAAATCTGCTAATCTAGTTCTAGATCTGGTTCGAGATGTTCTCGGGTGAGAGAGAGAGAGAGAGAGAGAGTAAGAGTAAGAGAGAGGGAATGGAGTACAGCAATGGATGTTTGGCAGCTATGGAGGAGGTCTTGGAAGGGTAAATTAGTCTATTAAAAATTAATGGGACTTGAAGGAGCAAATAATTTTATCTAGGACTTAATGGATTATAAGTTCACAAAATGGGACTTGTATGTAAATGCCCCTTGATAAAAAAATGAGTTCCTTTCATTTGATACCAATTTGGTGAAACAGTTGGAATATCATTTTCATCAAATTTTTGTCAAATTTAAGTTTGATGAAAGATTTGAGTATGGATTGGAGATAATCTAAAATCAATAGAAAAAAAATGATATTTTAGTCATTAAACTCAATAAAAAATTGATATTTTGAACATTTTGTATACATTTACATTTAGTTTAATTGGTGGTTTAAATTGAAAATAAATAAAAAAATTAGGATTTAAATTGATAAAATTAAAAGAATAAAAATCTATTTTGTTATCAATCTTTGAGTAGTTTTTATTTTTATTTTTATTTATTTGTAATTTTCCCAATAAAAATGATAGTAGTGAGCCTTAGGCTTTTCAAATTCTCTCAAGTTGCGATGTGGTTCTCAACCCTTGTGAAAATGATATAACAGTAGGCTTGAATCCGACTGACATATGGATCACTGATTGGTTTATTTTGCAACAAAATCTTCATTTGATTATACATTCACCATCTAACATCCTTGTACAAGACTATTTAGTAATCGATACCAACTCTTTGAATAAATAAAAAATCAATACCAACTCTTGTTTCGACTAAAACTTTCTATTTCTTTTGGTTTGTGATTTAGATTGGGATGCAAATTATGTATTTCTTGATTTGATTAGCATGATATTATTATAGGGACACAATACTGAGGTATTCTCAGTCTATACACAAACTAGCCATGGACATTGGGAACAAATTAGCTCAAAGTATGGGTTTGGCCAGTGATTTGTTTATGGGTTGGCCCTGCCAATTTAGGATTAACAAATACAGCTTCACCCCTGAAACTCTCGGATCATCCGGGGTTCAAATCCACACAGACTCTGCATTTCTTACCATATTACAGGATGATGAAAACGTGGGCGGTCTTGAAGTGATGGACAAGAAGTCCGGTGAATTTGTTCCGGTTGATCCCATGCCCGGCACCCTCCTTGTCAATCTTGGAGACTTTGCTACTGTTGGTAACACTTTCTTATGTCTGTTTGGCTTCTAGAAAAATTCATGATTTTTTTGTCAATCTTGAGAACTTGCAAAACATTTTTAGGGTATATTGCACTTTATATCCCTCGACTTTCACAAATTCTACTTTGATATTCATCTTTCAATCCCAAGAGCTATTTCAGTCAAGTTGCAAGGCCCTTCTGTTAGTTTGGTTTTTAATTATCTAGCGAATGTTGCCATGTGACCCTCACATGTGGCATTTTTCAGAGTAAAAATGTAATTTCTTCATATTTTTTTGTTTTTCTTCTCCTCTACTTTCCAAGATATTTTGTCTCTATTGTATTTTTGAAACCCACCACCCCCTACTACCCATGGTTGGGGTAGGGGCAGTGAGAAATGGGTGGGGGAGTGGCAAGAAAGGGATGATTGGTGGTGGTTGTGGGTATAAAAAATACAGTAAATAGAGAAGCATATGTGAAAAATAAAAATAAAATAGAGAAGTAGAAAAAAAGAGAGACAAGGCAAAACAAGATTTATCAAAACAAGTGTAACATAGCTTTATCAAAAATACCACTCACATAATTCTTCAAACGTCGGGGTCAAGCAAGGTCCAAGTCCTACAATCACATGGCAAAGCGTACTTGAACATATTCCTCAAAACAAGTCTAACATGCATGCAAATGATTTTGGAAAACATACTGGGCACCAACCAGGTCTAAGCCGAGGAGTATTTCCGAGGGCCACATGCAAGGAAAAGAGGTCGGGAAACTCTGGGTTTTCCCTCTGCTGATGAATATGAAGAACATGAGCATGAAAACATGGAAGATATGAATGTTCGATGATACCAATCTGTCATCACAAATCTGGGATTTTCATGTTACAAGTTTGAAAACATGGACCTGGGTACCCATAGTTGGAAACCATGCAATAACAAACACAAAACATGAGTCTAGTCAAAGAGCTTTCGGATCAAAACATGACTTTTCTTGAAGAACACATGAATGCCATTTTCTCTTTCTAAAACCGGATTTCAAGACGATGCATGGCTTACAAATCATGTCCGATCATGCAATGCAAATACATGATCATATAGAACACCATGAGCAGATCAAGAATCTAACCTCAAGACGCGGATCTAACGGTTCGATCTCTAGGAATCAAGCTTGAAGATCTACTTCCTCACTCTAAAACTCTTTCTTCCTCCTAGAGCTTCTCTCTCTACAAAACAAGTTTATGACACCAAAATGATAGTTTTCTATACCCGGTTCTGGGGTTAACCCTCTGCTGAGACACGTGGCGGCGGCTGATTGGGTTTTACCTGAAAAGGTGTCTGACAGACCAGACAAGGCATGGTGGAAGGGTGTTCAACAAGCAAAACGGTATGGGCTCTCTGCCAGGGCAATGACATCGGCTGACAACAAGGCGTATCTAACAAGCTACACAGAATGACACTCCGGCAAGGGGTGACATTGGCTAACAAAGGACTTCGACATCTAGGGTGACAATGACCTCGGCTAGGAAGGACAACACTTGACTAAGCTGTGCCACATCTTGGCCTAGATGCGCCACACCTCGGCCTAGGTCATACCGCTCCAGGACGAGATGACTGGGGTGCAAGGTAACATCTCGGCCAACGTGGTCGAGGCAAGGACTGAGGTCAACAAGGGGTTCCAAGATACTACTACTAGACTAAGGATGACCTCGGCTTGGAATAACGTCGGCTAGAGGCAAGGCGTGACCTAAGTTTTTACATCAAGGAAGGAACAAGACAAGTACACTACACTTAGACAAATCACAAGGCTTCAAATCAAGGCACGGATTTCACTTGCTAAAGCAAAACAAGTCACAACATACACATGCAAGCTTAACAAGTCATAATCATACAAATGCTCATGAACATGATTAAGATGAAAAATGTGGGTTCTTACACTTGAGAACTTGCAAAACATTTTTAGGGTATATTGCACTTTATATCCCTAGACTTTCACAAATTCTACTTTGATATTCATTTTTCAATCCCAAGAGCTATTCAGTCAAGTTGCAAGGCCCTTCTGTTAGTTTGGTTTTTAATTATCTAGCGAATGTTGCCATGTGACCCTCACATGTGGCATTTTTCAGAGTAAAAATGTAATTTCTTCATATTTTTTTGTTTTTCTTCTCCTCTACTTTCCAAGATATTTTGTCTCTATTGTATTTTTGAAACCGACCACCCCCTACTGCCCATGTTTAGGGTAGGGGCAGTGAGAAATGGGTGGGGGAGTGGCAAGAAAGGGGTGATTGGTGGTGGTTGTGGGTATAAAAAATACATTAAATGGAGAAGATAATGTGAAAAATAAAAATAAAATAGAGAAGTAGAAAAAAAGAGCAATTACATTTTTTCCTTTAAAATATGAGAAATTAAAGTCTGAGATCTCGTTTGGGAACATGCTAAAATGTATAATTAAAAAACGAGGCCGATTTGATATAAATTAAAAGGGTGCAAAATGTAATCTTTTTTCTTTTTTTTCTTTTTTTTTTCCTCTCTCTTTGTATCGGTTATTTTGTTGAAGTCGGATTTGATTGACACATTTACATTCACCAATGTGTCAAAGGTGTGGAGCAACGGAAGATTTTACAACGTGAAGCACAGAGTGCAGTGCAAGGAAGCCACGATACGACTGTTGATTGCTTTGTTTGTCTTAGGACCAAAGGAGGCTCCACTGGAAGCTCCACCGGAGCTAGTAGATAGTGAAAACCACCCTCGGCTACATGTTCCAATCAATTTTGAAGATTACAGAAAGCTCCAAATTTCCACTGGTTTGAGAGCCGGTGAAGCTCTTGACAAGTTATCTGCAAGCAATGTTCCATTTTAACTAGAAGACTAGGGTGGCCCAGTGTTGTGAAAAGCACGCCTAGGCACGCGCCTAGGCACCAAGCGAGGCGAGGTGCACTGTTTGTGCCTGCACAGGTCCCAGGCGAGGCGCTTTGAGATAGGCTCACGCCTTAACCGCGACTTGAGCCAAGCGACATAGGCGCAAGGCGCACGACTAGGCACGCTTGAGTTTTTAGCAGCTAGATCTCAACCCTAATCTATGTCGAATGGCTCTGAACTATGTCATTTTTCCTCTCTCGCCTTGCCTAGGCTGCTCGATTCCACTTCGACTTTGACTCTGCTGGACTTCGACTGGGTTGCTCGATTCGACTTCGCAGGTATGTTTCACCGTCTTCTTCTTCTTCTCCTCCTCCTCTTCCGGTTTGCCCGACTTCGCAGCTTCGACTAGGATTTTTTTTTTTTGGCTTCGACCTCTTCTGGTCTTTTGATCTCACTCTCTCTCTCTGTTGCCTGGGCTTCGACTTCGACTCTGTTTTGCCCCCTTTTTTTTTTTCCAATTATGCCTTTAGTCTCTATTAGAAGGAAAAAAAAAAATACAAATAATTAATTATTAAAGAATAAAAAAAATACAAATAATTAACTAAAAAAAATACACTGAAAAAAAAATACAAATAATTAATTATTTACAAATAATTAATTAATACAATGTGCTATTGGTCTCTTTTTTTTCCTTTATCTATTAGGGAAAAAAAAAATTACAAATAATTAATTCATCACACATTACATTACACTGAAATTATTTTTCATTTATTAAATTTGATATTGATGTTTTGAAGTGTTAAGACATATATTAGTATTTGTTGGATATTTATGTTTTGGATGTGTGTTTATGTTTTTGTTTTTGTTTTTATTTTATTGAATGTGGATTATTTAATCTTTGAAAATTGGAATGTTATGTAATATGCACTTTCATGGCTTTGAGAATTATTCTATATTTTGTCTTAGATCTTGATTACTTTTTATTTTTAAAAAAAATTGTCTTAGTACTATGAATGATTAGTCTATGTTAATTTTTTTATTTTTTACTAAGACTGTGCGCCTTACTTCAATAAAGCCCGCATCTCGCCTTGTGCCTTGCGCCTAGGCCCTGAGAGATGTTAAATGTCTTAGTGCGCCTTGAGTCTTTAAAAACACTAGGGTGGCCTATTGCCGGCCGCAATTGTGTGTGAAATGACAAAAATGCCCTTTACAAGCCACAACAGACACTCGTTTGGAGGACAATTTTGGCAAATTTTTGGGCCACCCTTGGACTATTAGTGGCTTCATTTCACCTGTATCTTTCACCAATTTTCTAAATAGAGTTAATCAAAATCAAGAAATATTGTGGTGAATGTTTAACTTGTTTCTTGGTTAATTATTTTGGAAACCTGTGCATTTACAAATCATCAATTCTTGCTTCATTAGCAATTTAGTTTTCAATTCCATTAGTTTAAGATAGTGTTTAGTTTGGCCAAATAATTTGAAGTAGAAATGAAATGATTATTTCTTAATCCCTAACTAGCCTCTCTCTCGGTCTCTTTGATATCATCGGGCGTCATCATTAGCTTTCATTTCCTTATGTGATATCTTTCGAAATTACAGCTCGACTATTATGTCCACGTTATAATCCTGCAGTGTAACGTTGCTCTGCGGCCAATCGGCTAATTGAAGGATAATTTAGTATTTTTTTTTTTTTTTTTTTGTGTCGAACTTGTAAGAGTAACAATGTCATTGTGTATTCCTCCATTAATACAAGTAGCAACAAGATCTGGTAATCGAGGTAAATGAAGGACTGAACTATTACTTACAGTTTTATGAAATTTATATTGAAAATTTTGAAACCTAATCAAATCGAACTAACAAAATGCAGGTTGGTTTAGTTTTGAACTACAATTTTTAAAAATTGTAGCATCATTCACAATATAATCGCAAAATACTATTTCCAACCTATGAAATGTTTAGAACTATTTCTATGAAGAACATTCATGTGGAAAGTATGGAGTTATAACTTATATATAATGTATATATATTTAGATAGTGCAATTCAGTTCCAAGCCGGATCCAAAGCTATAAAACTAAAGGTTGAATTTTGAAATATAGTTTACTTATTTTAAAAATCAAAACCAAATCGTTTGTTGAGAAAATCAAATCAAACAGTGCGGTTTAATCAGAATTAAACAAGTTTGCAATTTTTTTTCGTTTTTTGCTCAAGCCTATGTGGGAAGGAGTAGAGTGTAATTCTCAAAATTTGAGGGATTAAAATGCAAATCTTAGGAGATGTGCATGTAATTTACCCAAAAATATTCCACCTTTAATTGTTAAAACAGAAAAGAATTCATTGTATAAAATGAGAAACTGACTTAAAATGGGAAAATTTCTTCAATTCGCTCGTTTCCACAGGTCACAATTTTCTTTTCGGGGTGGACAACTGATATCTTGTTTGGATTGAAACTGACAAAAAATGGGAAAACTCCAAATACATAAATGTGAGATAAAAAACATAAAAACATTAATATTTGTAAATATGAGATAAAATATTCATAATTAGAAATGTAAATTATTTATATGCACCTAACATAACATAAATTATTTATTTATGAAATTTAGAATCAAATTAAATCATGAAAATTTTGAAAGCAAATCCCTAAACCAAAATCAAATCGAACTAATAAAATGCAGTTTGGTTTAGTTTTGAACTACAATTTTTAAAAATTGTACCATCATTCGCAATATAATCGCAAAATACTATTTCCAACCTATGAAATGTTTAGAACTAGTTCTACCAAGAACATTATGGAGTAATAACTTATGTCTAACGTATATATATTTAGAAAGTGCGATTCAATTCCAAACCGAATCCAAAGCTATAAAACTAAAGGTCGAATTTTGAAATATAATTCACTTATTTTAAAAATCAGAACCAAATCGTTTGTTGAGAAAATCAAATCAAACTGTGCATTTTGATTAGAATCAAACAAGTTTGCAATTTTTTTCATTTTTTGCTCAAGCCTATGTGGGAAGGAGTAGAGTGTAATTCTCAAATATCTGAGGGATTAAAATGCAAATCTTAGGAGATGTGCATGTAATTTACCCAAAAATATTCCACCTTTCATTGTTAAAACAGAAAAGAATTCATTGAATGAAATGAGAAACTGACTTAAAATGGGAAAATTTCTTCAATTCGCTTATTTCCACAAGTCACAATTTTCCATTTGGGGTGGACAAGTGATGTCTTGTTTGGACTAAAACTGACTAAAAATAGGAAAAAAATTCCAAATACATAAATGTGAGATAAAATAAAGGATTATTTACCAATAAATCCTACTTTACAAACTGTTATACCAAATAGTCCCACTTTTATTCTATTATACCAATTAGTCCTATTGGTGGGTTGATTTGATCCTTTTTTTTTTTTTTCATTTTTGTTTAACTTCGCGGACGAGAGTGTCCTTGGTATAACGTGGACTGTGTGTAACAGTGTGTGTGTGTATAACAGTGTGTGTGTGTGCGTGTAACAGTATGTGTAACAGTGTGTGAGTGTGTGTTGAAGCCATCTGTGTGTCTGCGTGTATCAGTGTGTTTGAGAGGGCTTCCCAGACACATCAGTGTGTTTGAGAGTGTGTTTAACAGTATGTCTGCGTGTATTAGTGTGTTTGAGAGTGTGTTTGAGAGGCCATCTGCGTGTATCAGTGTGTGAGTGTATAAGCCATCTGTGCTTATAAAGAGAATGACCCGGCGGTGATCGGGACATTCCCAACTTTCATGTATTCGGTGGTAACGGGTCTGAAGATCGGAAAAGGTGCACTTGTGTGCGCTGTTTGTCTCAATGAATTCGAAGACATTGAGAATCTCAGATTGATCCCCAAATGCGACCATGTGTTTCACCCCGAATGCATCGATGCTTGGCTCAATTCTCATGTGACTTGTCCGGTTTGCAGAGCCGATCTCGTTCCTCAACCCGGTGAGACTCTGCAAATTCCAGATTTCAATCTCCAGATCGATGTTCCGGAGGAAACCCAGAACCCCCAAAACCCAACCGATGAAGTTTCGATCCGGGTCGTTGAAGATCCGGAAGAAGACTATCTTCCTCCTCCTCCTCAGGCGCTGGACCGGTGGGGTAGAAGGGGAGGATGTTGTTAGCCACCCAGGTCACGGCGGCAGAGAGTTTGGAGACGACGGGGATGTCGGAGTTTGGCGAGGGTGATGTTTGGCTCTGTCGATGTTGGTGTGGTATTGAGTGTGTGTTGTGAATGTTTGTGTATCTGCCTGTGTGAACCCCCAAACACACCAACCCAGCCCAAAATAAAAACTCCTTACAGCGCTTTGTCATTGTGTGACACCCTCACAATGTATCACATGCAACATACCACACATCTATTTACTAATTATGCACGGGGGTAATTACGTCCCTCACAATTGAATGGGACTAAACGGTTTAGTAGAATAAAAATGGGACCAATTGGTTCATAAGTTCAAAATTTGGGATTTATTGGTAAATCTCCCTAAAATAAAAGACATAAAAACATTACGAGTTGAAAATATTAGCGGTTGACCCGTGCAATTTATGTTCTATTTTTTTTATAAAAAATATTTGATAGTACAATGTTATTATAAAAGAATAATTTTAATTTTAATTTGAAGTATGATTTTAATTATTTATTTTGATAACATTAGCATTATCGTTCTATAAAAGTGTTACTTGAATACTTATATATATTAATTTTAAGTTAAATTATTTGTGTATTTTGATAATTTTAGTTATATCATAATATAAAAGTGTAACTATCATATAATAATTTTTTATGATATATATTAAATCATAAAATAGTAAAATAAATACTCATTTCGATATTAAAAATAATTGTTAAATTATAAGAAGAATTAGTAACATAAAATTAAAAATAATTCTAACTATTTAATTTTATTTTATATTCATTTTGAAAATAAAAATATGTAGAAATAGAAATTATATAAAATTTATTAAAAAAATTAAATATAAATATGTTGTTGTTAAATTATCATTCAATGATTTTTATATATATATATATATATATATATTAAGTTATAAAATTATAAAATAAACACTCTTAATTAAATTAAAATATCAACTATATAAAAGAAATTTAATAACGACTAACCAAGAAAGAATCACATTAATATATTTACTTAAAAACAAAAAATAATAAAAACATTCAAACAATAGATACATCTCAGTGTGTGAAGTGATTAATTATCTATAATATGATATCAAAACATAAAAGAACTTACTATTTAATAATTGAGATAGTGACTCAATCAGTAAATCCAAACTTTAGAGGTTCCTCAAAAGTATCATTGTTGTGAAGATTTTTTCTTTGTGATTATATAAAATAATATAGAAAATGATGTATAATTTCATATATAGAATCACTATAAAATTTAAACGACAAATCCATAATATAAAATTGATATTAGGGATAGAAAAATGCACTGGAAATTAAAGGGGGGAAAAAAAAGAGAGGCAATTTAGCATTAAAAGTGAAAAATCCTAACACCCTTCAAAGAATTAAGAAGAAAAAAGTGAAACCCAAAATTGGTATTAGGCTCGTGGATTATCTCTATTTAAGATGAAAAATATATGGAAAAGAAATATTTTTCAAATAGAGTTCATATAAAATAGATAAAGTTAGTATAATTTAAATTAGGTTTGAGTTTGTGTAGACCTCTATATGTAATCTATCTATATCTATATTTATACTTACTATATATATAAGTAAATGTAGTGGAGTATGAGAATTGTAGCGATCCCAATTTTGACTCGATCAACTTATGGGAAAGTGTATTTCATGCTCAAGCAGACTATGTTATGTTAGTCCATAAGTAGAGATTTCAGATTACTTTTTCAGTTCTCTCTCTCTTTAAAACTCTTCAAAATTTCCAGATCTAGAGCTTCTCTCTCTAGAAGTCATCTTCTCTCTTTGATTCCTCCAAAGCCGTTGGGAGTTAGACTGAAGTTATTTATCAAAGTTGTATAACTTCTCGAGAGCTTCGTTGTGTGCGGTGGAGATCGAGTTTCGATATCATAGATTTTGGGGTTTTATCTCATTTCTTCTTCAAAACTTAAGGTAGGGATTTTCTTAGAGTTATGTATATATATATATTTGCAAGATCTATATGATTTTCAAAATCATCTTTCGATAGCATTGAAAATTGATTGTTGATTTAAGAAATTGAGCGATTTTGAAAGTGGATTTGTCTCTTATTCTTTTAAAATGATCTTATGGGTTTTGATTTTTATTGATTGAAGAAAATATGATTTTGGAAAGTTTTCTTTCAAAAGATTTGAGTTGTATAGTTTTGGTGAGAAAATCTAGAATTTGAGAATTTTTTTTAAAGACTGAAAATCTATGAATGATATTGTTATATTTATTTTGTGTGTCAAAATAAATGGATATTTGGAAAATTTCTTATTTATATTTATATAAATGATAAATTTCAGGGAATATGAGAATTATTGTTCATTTTGGAAATTATTGTTCAAAACGTTGAAATAGTCTTGAAATGACTAATTGTTGAGGATACTTGAGAAGATGGAATTGTGTTATTCCTTGGATGATGAATAGAAATAACAGTATTTATATTCATCTTGTGTTATTGGCATATCAATTCATGTGATTACATTAAACTTTGAAAGTTGATTTGAAAACTTGTATTGAGAAAAGAATGTTGAGAAATAAGTCTTCATGGAACGGTTTTGGGGTAAATACATTGGCAAGTTTTGATAGGTGGTGTAGATGATATTGAACAAGTTAGCCTGAGAGTCCAAGGTGAAAGACCAAAACCCGTGCGGATAGGTATCGAGCCTTCCGGTTAATACCGGTAAAAATGACAAATTGGTAGTACTTATAAAGTTTACTTGCAGACATCGACCTAGGGATTACCAGAGTCGTATTTACCGCTCTTGAAATGAATTGTTAAGTTTTGAAGAATTGAAATTGCATGACATCATTGAGCATGATGGTTTTCAAAGATGGAGATGTGATTTTCTTTCAAAAGGGCATAGCATAGCATGTGCATTTCATCTTTTAAGACTTGTATAAAATGTATATACTTTGTTAAGGATTTCCTACTGGGCTTTATGCTCACCCTACGGAATTTTTGTGCAGGAAAAGATGTGGTGATGCCGCCTAACTAAGGGCGAGGAAATGTGTGTTGAGAGTACGAGACTCTTATTTTGCTGAAACTCTGTGTGTAAGCCAAGGGCTGTATGTGTGTGGGTTTGAATAATCGTTTTGTATAACCAGATTCAAGCTTTGGAAACTTGTAAACCCTTGGGAGTATTTATTTGTTTATTTACTTGTTGTTGGATTAATGTATTGTTGCATGAAGAACTATTGTATCATGTAATGTAAGTTTAGAGATTTATATTAGATTTTCCTTGAAAGAACCATGATTGTTGTATTATCATTTGGGTTAGAAATTTAGGGCGTTACAAGAATTCTCCAAACTTTTAATGCTAAATTCTTACGGATTCTCTCTCTTACGTGTCATCTCGCAAGTCTCCTCTCCCACTTTTTCTAATTTTTAATCATTTGTCAATTATCAAAATTTCAAAAGCCAACAGCATTATATATATTTAAATAAAATGATAACTATTTAGATATGAACAATAAATATTTAGATATGAATAACAAAGATGTAGAGATAAAAATATAATAAAATAAAATAAATAAATACGAGTCAAATAATTTTTAAAATAAAAAGATAATTATTTATGTCACGCCCCAAATTTCTAGCTCAAATGATAATATAACAATCATGACTCTTTCAAAGAAAACCGAATATAAACCTCCAAACTTACATTACATGATACAATAGTTCTTCAAGCAACAATACATCAATCTAACAAGAAGTAAATAAACAAATAAATACCTCAAAGGGTTTACAAATTTTCAAGGCTTAAGCTCGGTTATACAAAACGGTTATTCAAACCCACACAAATACAGCCCTTGGCTTACAAAACAGAGTCACGCAAAATGAGAGCATTGTACTCCTAACACACAGACTTCCACACCCCTAGTTGGGTGGAATCACCATATCTTTTCCTGCACAAAAACCCCGTAGGGTGAGCATAAAGCCCAGTAAAAAATTCTTGACAAAGTATATACATTTTATACAAGTCTCAAGAGATGAAATGCACATGCCATGCTATGCCTTTTTTTGAATATAAATTACATTTTCATTTTTTTGAAAACCATCATGCTCAATCTAATGCCCTCAAAATAAATGCATAAATCATTCATTCATAATAACCATGGACATGAGAAAGTAAAATATATTCGTTCATTAGAGTGTTTTCCATAAGAGATGTTACATGTTAACAACAAAAGTAAAAGTCATACGGGCTTACAACTTTCCAAGTCAACACTTGGTTACAACAAAGAGGGTCAAAAGCCCTTTACAATTAAAGCCCTTGGTTTGGAACGAACAACATGTAACACAAAAGAAAGATCAACCAAAAGAAGCCTGTTGCCTCTAAACCACCCAAGCTAGGTCCTTGGAGGCAGCATATCTCCTGTACTTGAAAATGATGTTCTATATAGGGTGAGCCAAAGCTCAGTAGAGATATGCTAAACCAGATATGAGAAAAAACTAAAACATTAGCATTCGATGGATGGTTAACACTTATAAACCGATTTACATTCTTTGCAAGGCCACCAATAAGTACATTCATGTTCCAATCCACTTCCCTTATATATCGAATTCAATTCATAGACATGGTTTATTATCTAACCAAACAATTTAAATGATACTACAACTCATCTTATTAACACTTCCATTATCCACAATTCAAAATGAGACTACAACTCATATTTTTAACACTTCAGTTATCAACAATTCAAAATGAGACTACAACTCATATAATCAACACTTTATATATTCAACACTTCAATTATTAACATCATTCAGATATACATAAGGTTTCTTCACCCTGGACACTCCGGCCAGCTTAATTATCAATGGAGTCCATCTCCTATCTCTCCCCAAACAATGGAATACATCTCCTATCTCCTTCCAAACAATATACATATACAATGTATTTAAACAAGTTGTCATATACAATGACCAATTCTCGAACATATTCAATGTTATAACCCATTCGTCATATTCGATGACATATTTCAATCGATTAGTTTCAATTTACCTAATCATCATGTAATTCTACAACACTCATGACTATTCTCCATCGATAGCCCAAAACAGTTATTTCTAAACAGATAATTAAATTTATCAAACAGATAAATTAATACATTTTCCATGAGTGAGTGATTTATCAATCCAACTACACCATTATATCACCATTATATCCTCCACCATTATGTCATGCAATTTCAATTGTTCAAAACTTAGCAATTTATTTCAAGGGCGGTAAATATGTCTTTGGTAATCCTTAGGCTGGAGTTTGCAAGTAGACTATACGAGTACTACCAAATTGTCATTTTTACCGGTATTAACAGGAAGGCTCGACACCTATCCGGGCGAATTTCCGGTCTTTCACCCCGGACCCGCAGGTCAACTTATTCAATATCATCTATACCACCTATCAAGACTTACCAACATATTTACCCCAAAATCATTTCATGAAAACTTATTTCTCAACATTCTTTTATCAATGCAAGTTTTCAAATCAACCTTCAAAGTCTAATGTAATAAAATGAAATGATATGCCAATTTCACAAGATGAACACAAATGCTTTTATTCCAATTTATCATTCAAGGAATAAACACAATTTCATTTTCTCAAGTATTCTCAACAATTTAGTCATCTCAAGACTATATCAACATTCTGAATAATCATTTCTAAAATGAACAGCAATTCTCATAATCCACAAAATTAATCATTTAAACGAATATAAATAAGAATTTTTTTAAACATAATTTATTTTGACACACAAAAATAAATATAACAATATTACCCATGATTTCTCAACATTTTTTAAAACTCCTATTATCTAGATTTTCTTACCAAAACAGTTCATCTCCAAAACATTTGAAGAAATCTCACCAAAAACATCTTTCCTTAATCAACATAGTTCAAAACTCTCAATTTCTATTTCAAAGGATCAAATGGTAAACTCACTTTCAAAATCACTCTTTTTCTTGAATTAACAACCCATTTTCCAAAACAAATCAAAGAATGATTTCGAAAATAATCTACATCTTGCAAAAATATATATATAACTCAAAAAGAAAATCCCTACCTCAAGCCAAGAAGCTTTCAAATTTTTCAGCAACAGAGATTAAATTTTCTTGGAGCCAAACGACGCATTTTCTGCCCTCTACGTTTTGATCCAAAACACTTCAATTTACGACCCCAGCAGAACCTTTCAGGAAATGAAGGTAATAGCTCTTCAAGCACTTGAACAACAACTGAACCATGCACCTCTTTCTCATAGGAAATATGATCTTTTGCAACTCCAGAATGTTTTCGAATTGAATTAACACCTCTGAGATATGGCACAACACCCCAGTCCAAATGTAAATCTTCCATTTGTGCAAACTCATCCAATACACAACCAATGAGACGATAGCTCACCATACTTGACTTGTCACAGGCTTCTTGAACAGCAAGGTATTGGTTTCTACTCATGCTTAGCTTATCACGCATAGAGTTGTGTTCACACAAGAAGTTAGAAGAAACAAAATCTGGGGGTTTTTCAGGGTCAAGTGTAGGTTCTTGTCTCTCAACATGGGGATCCCTCAGTTCTGAATTCCTCACACTTCATGTATGGAAAAGATTTTCTTCCCTATTATCTAAGCTGTTGAATTCAAAACATGAAGCTGAAGAAGCAAAAGCATCAGAATTCACTAAATCCATTCTCGTAACGGGCTCAGACTCAACTCTCGCAAAAGAATTACTGTTTAACCTTCTGTTGGAGTCATTCCCTATGAGTCAACTGAACTGCTAAAGCTTCAACCATAGCAATAGCTTCTTCTACGTCATCCTTATTTTTACCAGCCACACGGCCTCTTAAGGCTTCCAGTGCATCTCTAAGCTTCTTTAGAAGTACATGTTTCTTCAAAGAAGTAGCGTCCCTGAGTCTAGCCTCATCACACAACTTAGCTGCTGCAGCCGAACCTTTCTCAAATTAACTGGCAAGGCCACGAACAAAGAGGCGTTTCTGCTGTTCTAGCAATTGAGGCGTTTCTGCTGTTCCAGCAATTGGGCAGTTTCTCGAGCAATGACCTCCTTCGTGGCTAACACTTTGGGATCCTCCACCTCCACAATCTGGTTGTTAGCACCAATTTTATAAGTTGGAAACCGACTAGTAGCAAATATCACATCTGTTGAGACTGGAGGAACTGTTCCTTTTTCAATGAATCAGCAAAATCACGGCCTACTCTCGTCATGATACGAAATTTAATTTAGATCACGTAATTAAGTACTAACTAACAGAGGAGATTGAGATGAACAATGGCAAAGTTTGGTCTTGGTTGCAGGCAGACTTGAATGATGTTTCGAGAGAGAGAGAGAGAGAGATAACTTAAACAAAACCCTTCCCACTCACTCTTGTCCCAGCTTTTTTTTTTTTCTCTCTAAAGAATATATTCCATCACATTAGACCTCATCCAATCCTTTCAGACGTCTGGGGGAGATGGCCAGAGAAGTGTTAATGTCAGCATTATACACCTGTAACTCCACTACTACAAACCAATCCACATGCTGCTTTTCGGTGCCACTAACTCAATCATCATGATGTTGAGCAATTGTTTAAGCATAGCTAAAGTGTAAGTGGTGGGTCCTTTTTTATTCCTTCCTCTAAAAATTTTCCAATTGTCTTGAAAGCAAATAATATCTACTCATCATTCTCATGTAATCATTCTCATGTAGCGTTTCAGGCCTACAATTTTTTATTTTTTATTTTATTTATTTTTATTTATTTATTTATTTATTTTTGGGTCATTACAATTTATATATGAACAAAAAAAAATAGAGATAAAAATATATACAAATATATATATATATAACTATTTAGATTTGAACTGAAAAATAGAAATTTAAATAAAAGATAAAAAAAATATTTAAATAAAAAAGATTAAGATTGAGACATGAATTCGAAAAACATGATAAATTTTTTAACGATCTATATTTACCTTATGTGAGTTTGTTGTAAAATTCTCATATATTTCGGCTTAATCTTTTTAAAGTTTATCTTCAAGTTAAACTAATATTTTATCTTTCAAAATCATTAATTAATTATTCATAGACATTTTAAATATAATAAAATTCCATAAATAAAAATGCAAATAAAAAATATGATATAAATCTTAAAAAGATGATAAATTTGATAAAATTCAAAACATTTAAATAAAAAATATTAAGATTGAGATATAAATCTTAAAAAGATGATAAATTTTTTAACGATCTATATTTACTTTCTATGAGTTTATTGTAGAATTCTCATATATTTTATCTTAATCTTTTTAAATTTTATCTTTAAGTTGAACTTATTATTTTACCTTTTAAAATCATCAATTAATTATCCATATAAATTTTAAATTTAATACAATTCCATATTTTGAATTGATAAAAGTTCAAATAAAAGATTAATATTCAAATAAAAAAGATTACGAGTCAAATAATTTTTAAAATAAAAAGATAACTATTTATGTATGAATAACAAAAAAATAGAGATGAAAAAATATACAAAAATAAAAATATAAGTATTTAGATTTGAACTGCAAAATGAAAATTCAAATAAAAGATAACAAAATATTTAAATAAAAAAGATTAAGATTGGGATATAAATATCCCAAAAATGTGATAATTTTTTTAAGGATCTATATTTATCTTTTGTTAGTTTGTTATAGAATTCTAATATATTTCAGTTTTATTTTTTTAAAGTTTATCTTCAAGTTGAACTTAATATTTTATATTTTAAGATCATTAATTAATTATCCAAATAAATTTTAAATATGATATAATTCCATATATATCTTTTGTCTAAGCATAATCTTTTCAATATAAAAACAAATTCCTGTAAAAAAACCATGAACAGAAGATTGGGAGGAAAAACAATCAACATTGAGCCATTTTTTATTCTTTTCAGTGCCTAAAAATCTTAAATATTTGCTTTACATTTAAAATGTATACTTGCATGTTTTGCATTTGTGAGAAAGTGGGTTTATATAAATGGATATTGTGATTTTATTTTAAATTTTTTTTGTTACAATTTGTATTTTTCTTTACTTGTTTCTCTTTGCTAATAATGTGTCATTTAATTGAAATTTTATTCTTTTTTTTAATTATTTTTTAAAGCTCTACTATTATCAATTTGTAATTCTCTCACTTATTGACTATTTGTGTTTAATTTTTTTGGGTGCACATGTTAGATTGAAAATGAAGAATACATCAAAATTTATTAGATGTGGGTTTATACTTTAAATGTATTCATTAGTTGATTTTTTATTGTTGATTATATGTTCAAATAACTCATGATTAAATTTATTTTCAAAAACTCATTTCCTTTGGCAACCCACAAATTTCTTCTCTTTTAATTTTTTTTTTTTGTTCAGATTCAGAGTTTGAATAAATGGAAGAAATCTCTTAATAAAAATATTAATTTTTTTTTGGAATAATTTAAATATTGATATTCTTTATGTTTGTCAATTCAATTTTAATGCATTTCCAAACTTTTATTTTATAATCATTCCAAACCTATTTATGCTTAATGAATCAATATAACCAACAAAAAAAAATAGCATGTAAATTTTTTTTAACCATTAACTGAATATAATGGGAATTAAAATTAATTTTATTTTAATTCATTATACTATGTGGGATGATTAATGTAATATCAACTATTGATTAAACAAAATTAGTGCTACTTTTATTTAATATTAGTTATTTTGATTAATTATAATATGCCTTTATTACTCTACTTTTGGTTATCTGAAGTAATTTTTGTATAAATTAGTTATTATTTATGTGATGATTTACTTAATCTATGATAATTTTTAATTTTTTTTTAATAATGTGAAATATTAAATATGTTTAATGATGTGAAGTAAGGTTTGTATACACAAACTAAATAAAAATATTAAGAAATACAATCAAATAGCAAATTTTTTTAAAGTAATTATTGACTTTTTAAAATCCCATGCATCGCACGAGTGACCACTAATTAATAAAAAATATGTTGATGTGGTGCTCTTAGAAAAAATTAAGTCCTTAAAATGTGTCACTTAAGTATGGAAAAAATATAACTTTTAATAATATATATAGCGATTCCGATTTTGAATCGACCCTTATTGTATCCCAGGCTCGAGTTTCATGATTCTGTATTATTGTTCTTGTCTCTTTCTCCCTTATTCCTCATTGAAATTGAGTATTGGAGTGCCTTGGTTGTGTTTGGAATAGGTTGATTGCTAGTTGGTTCAAATTGTTATTGCCCAAATTTTGACCTCTTCGCTTGAGCAAAGCTTCAAGCGAGCATTGTGAGCTTTCAGTACTTTTGCAGGCCTGCAAAGATACTGGGAGGGTAGTGTTCTTCTCTCGAGCGAGAACTCTTGCGCTCGAGCGACGGTCTTCTCTTTGTAAAACTTCTGAAAGTGTGCATTTTGCGCTCGAGCGAAGTTTCTTGTGCTCGAGCGAGGTGACTTATTTGTGTCTCATCGCTCGAGTGACAACTCTTGCGCTCGAGCGAGCTGCGCGTATATTAGTTCGCAGAAACACTTTTTTACATCACTTTTTGACATATTTTCTCTCAAAAGCCCTAGACCGACTCTCTCTCTCTAAAGCTCTCTCTCTCTCTCTAAAACTCTTTCTCTACATTTTCACCTAGATCTAGTGGGTTCTCTACTCGTGTACCTTTGTTAAAAAGGTGGTACGTCTCAAGAGCTCTCTTTTGATCTGATTAAAGCTTTGTTTCGGTGTCTTTGAAGTTCCTCCATCTTTTCCTTTGGTCTTCTAAGTTTAAGGTAGGGATTTTCTACACTTTCATATGCTTTTTAACTTAGTTATTTGATGTTGTACGGACAAGATTGGGATTTGGAAGATTTAAGACAAATCTAGGGTTTTGATTTAAAATTTCAAGAGGGGTTTTCGAATGAATGCAATGGAAACGGTTGTGGGAGTAGATATGAACTTGTATTATGTTAAAATAGTTGATTTTGGTGTTTGGGATGAATTTGGGAAAAATGAGAGCTTGGCCCTAAAATGACTCAAATGATTATTTTGTATAAATAATGAAATTGGTAGTGAACGCGTGAAATTAGGAGGTTGTTTATATAAATGGTGGAGTTAGATATGTATTATCTCACACCTATGAAAATTTGGATAATTTATCTGTTGTAAAGATTGTATATCTATTAAGAAATATCTATTTTGGGCTATCGGTGGAGGATAGTCATGATTGTTGTAGAAATTGCATAAGAATTAGGCGAATTGAAACTAATCTCTTATTGTTGTCATTGAATATGATTGTGTTATAATACATTGTACATGTATGATAGTTGGGAGGAGAAAGGGGATAAACTCCATTGAATTAAGTTGGCTTGTGTGTCCTGGGTGTAAGTTCCGAAAACCGCACGTATACATGGGTGCCGATTCCCGCGGATGAAATTTCTATAAAATGGCAAATTGAAGTATTGTTTATTGATTATATAGGTTTGAGAACCACTGAGTTGTACTCTCAGTTGGGTGGTCTGGATAATAAGGAAAATAACTCATAAATTGAGATGAAATGAATTTATAGCTATTCTGATTTTGACCCAGTACCTATTGCATTCCGGACTCAGGTTGGTATGATTTAGAATGGTTATTCATATTTTATTTCCCTCGTCTCTCATTTATTTCAGTTATCAAGTTGTAGTTGCGCGTTTGGAACAAGTTGGTTGCTTGTTTTTCCATACTTTTGTTGCCCAGATTTTGACTCTTTCGCTCGAGCGGCCATTCTTGCGCTCGAGCGGGATTTGTCAACATTCAGTATTTTTGCAGGTCTACAAATACTGGGAGATTGCATTGGACGCTCGAGCGTCCATTCTTACGCTTGAGCGGGGAACTTCGTCTGGAAAACTTCTAAAAGAGCGTATCCCACGCTCAAGCACCACTTTTCACGCTCGAGCGGAACTTTGTGTCTAATGCTCGAGCGTCACTTTCCACGCTCGAGTGGACTGCGTGTATAACAGTTCATGAAGATGACATTTTGAATCATTTTTTCTTCTCTCTCTCTCTCTAAAACTCCCTAAATATCTAGATCTTGAGTTTCTCTCTCTAAAACTTACCTTCTCTCTAAGATTTCATCTAAATCCATTGGGATTTCCACCCTAGTGCCTTTGAGAAAAAGGGAGAGCGCTTCAAGATCTTCATTTTGATCTGAATAGAAATGGGTTTCGATATTCTCGGTGTTTCACTCTTGCTTGATTCGTCTTCACTCTTTGAGGTAGGGATTTTTCTATATACTCTCATATGATTTTTAGCTTAGTTATTTGTTATTATGTAACAATGGTGGGATTTAGGAGTAGTTTGATCAAACCTAGGGTTTGGGGATGGAATGAAAAGAGGGGCTTTTTTGGTAAAAATGAAATAAATGA